TCCAATCCACTTTCGTGGATAACAAGTTTCGCCATACACTCATGAAACTCCATTTCTGAAGTTCCATTTTTAAGAATAAAATAGTTTCGAATACTTCTTTTTTTATTCTCAAACAACTTTTGAGCGCTTTACAAGTTCATATTCGATCGAATGCCTCCGATCCAAGAGAAGATTATACGTCCATTAGTGTGTGTAACCTAAAAATCACTCCGCCTGAGCATAAAAGATCGATCAAACGATAGACAATGGCTGCTGTTTCGAAGCGCTTGGTTCAATTAGGTATCAATTCAGGGTTCCAAGCAAAATCAGTGAAGAACAACGTATACGGTTTTGCTACACCTTTTCTGGTGCCAAAACAGAGTCGATGTGATTACACTAACAGGAGACATCTCTCCCAGCTCGTAAACCCTAACGGCAGGCGTGTCTTTCTCGTTGATACATTAGCTCTGGTATGTTGCCAACCTTGATTAAGTTCAATTTTCACTTCTATATGATTAGTTTTCGTTATTGGTTGTAATACTAAGATCAAATATAGATTCGAACACAAAAGATGTTTAGGATTTCTCTTTGAATGTGCGGTGTTGGTAGATAAACCACTGTGAATAGTGTGGAACACTTATCCACAATCAGATTCATGTATAAATTGATTTTGGGCTTGTATTGTGTTTTTAGGTTAGGAGGTTAGAAGCTCAAGGAGTACCTTCAAAACAGGCTGAAGCTATAACATCTGCTATCACTGAGGTTCTTAACGACAGTTTGGAAAATGTTGCTGATACGTTTGTATCAAAAGCTGATATGCAGAAAGTAAGAAATCTCATCTTTTGCAACATCTTATCTTCTTCCAAGGGATAAATGCAATAAACAATAAAAGTGAAATTAAGTTGCTATTTCAGTATTTCTTGCATTTAGCCTATTCTCAAAAGTATTTATTTTGGATTCTTTTTTTTTTTTTTTTATTATGTAGACAGTGATGCTTCAGGAAGCACATCTTGGGAAGTTTAAATCTGAAGTACAGAGTTCACAGGTACTTTCTTAAAAGTCACCAAGTTCACAGGTACTAATAAATAATAATATGTTTATTAATTATTAAATATGTGAGAAACATGAGGGTGAATTTGTGACAAGTTAGGACTTCAAAGGGAAAGTCTCATTTCCATGACTATCTTTATTAAGTCCTTCTTTAAGCATTAAGTCAAAAAAAAAGGAACACCCATGTCTCCATTAAGTAAATAAAAGAGAAAAAATTTGTTATAGTAGTTGAATACAAAGGTTGATCCACATTTTGATGTTATTTTGTCATTTAGTTGATTAAGGAACCATTTATGAGTAAGTCCATATTCAATTTTAGGTAATTAGTCCTTCTTTGTGTATAAACTTATATACAATTTCTTTTTTTAGGCAAAATATAGAAAAGTTAACTATTTTCTGCAGTGATTAATCCAGTATACTTTTTTTTTTATTACAATTTTTTCTAGGAAATATACAGGAAAGAAAAACATACATTCACCATTTTATCTATTTAGCAACTGCACTACTGTTTTATACAGATTTAGTCAGTGAATTCTTATTATAACAATCAATAACAAAATAATAGTTCAGTAGCTAAATCAATAAAATGATGTTTTTAAGTTAGTTAAATATTTTTAGATTCCAAAAATATTGTTAGTTTGAAATATATTAACATTATTTTTACTTTTTATCGAATTGTTGCAGGAGCATCACTTTTCTATGTTGCAACGTGAGACTGAAAAGCTAAGAACTGACATAGACAAAATGCGAAGTGAACTGAGGTTATTTCCGTAATTTTTCATTTTAATTGGTTTATATATTGCCCTTTAATTGAACAAAATAATAATAAATATACAGGTATGAGATTGACAAGGTCACTGCAGGTCAACGTTTGGATTTGAATCTTGAAAGAGGGTAAGTAAAAAAAAAAAATTATTTTTATCAATTATGCTTTTATAAAAAGTAAAAACCCTCCCATTATTAATAGGTTGTGTTTTTCTAGCATTAAAAATAACATAATATAGTTTTTTTTTTTTTTTTGTCTGCAATTAATATATTAGTTTTTTCTGATTATTGTAATTACATATTTAATATAAATATTTTTATATTGTTTCAGGCGTATTCGTGATGAGCTGGCCAATCAGAATGCTGAAACCACCAGCCTCACCAACAAGCTTGACCGAGTAAGACCTTGTTTCCATTTTATTTTTATCAAGTAACAAGGGTCAAAATGGTCATTTGTAGTTAACATTTGTTCCAGACTAAGGGTAAAATGGTCATTTGTAGGTAGCATTAGTTACAGACTAAGGATAAAATGGTCATTTGTAGTTAAAACATTAGTTCCACACGAAGGGCAAAATGGTCATTTACCGTCATTCATTGCAAAAAAGATCTTTATTTTGAGTAAATTACACGAATGGTCCCTATGGTTTGGGGTAATTTGCATGCTTGGTCCTTAACTTATTTTTTTAACTCGGAAGGTCCCTATGGTTTGTTTTTGTTACGCTTTTGGTCCCTACTGTTTATTTTTGTTACGCGTTTGGTCCTTATCTTATCTAAAAAGACTATTATTTAAAGAGGAAAAAATGATATGGTAGGTGAGGTAAGGTGAAGGGGTGAGATTAAGGGTGTGTTTATTTAGATAAATTAAAAAAATCAAGGGCATAATAGTCTTTTTAGGTAAGATAGGGACCAACCGCGTAACAAAAACAAACAGTAGGGACCTTCTGAGTTAAAAAAATAAGTTAGGGACCAAACGCGTAAATTACCCTAAACCATAGGGACCATTTGTGTAATTTACTCCTTTATTTTATAAAACACTTTATCGTTGACAAAAAGAAAGAAACCCACGTTTTCAATGGATAAAATGCTGTGTGAACAAAATGACGATTTTACCCTTGTTGTGGAGAAGTGTGGTTGATGTAATTTTGTAAATTTGTATGTAGGAAATTCATGGATTAAGAGCGGAATTAGAAGCAGCGAAGTATGATGTTATAAAGTATTGCATAGGAACCCTAATTTCCATATCGGCTGTTGGTCTTGCAGTCATTCGTATACTCATGTAAAACCAAAATTGCAATTCTTAACTCTATTTATTCATTCATTTCCATTTTTGGATTGAAAAAATCTAAATCTAAACTTACAAATTAGTTTGTAGATTAGGTTACTTGATTTGTGAAACATATATGGTATATGGAATCAAAAAGTTTATTATTTTGTATTGATGTTCTTTTGTACAAATATAGTCTTAATATTTTTAGTAAGTTTTGTATTAGTGTTTGGTTGTGTTAAGTTACATTTACTCTTGTTATCTTCACAAAAAAAAACATATTCAAATATTGATATATGTACCACATTTTATTATATTTGATGATACGATTTTGATTATTCAAATATCAAATAATTGTTAGATATATGGATTCAAATATCAATAGAAGTACCACTTTCCGAAATCTGTAATTCAACCTTATGTTTGGGCTATATGAATTCAGATATGGAATAATCCAAGAAAGTATTAATTAAAAACTAGTAGACTTAAATGGTTTAAGTGTGAATAAGTCTTAATTTGAATTGTTAGCAATTATCTCACATATTAAGGTACCCTTTGGCATTGGAATAGAACTTGGGACAGAAATGGATAGCATTGGATAGAGATGGACTGGATTGAACTGAAAAGTTGTTTGTATAATGTTTGGTATGACAATTAATAATTTTAATGTGTTTGCATTGTCTTTAATGTTTTTTTTTTAAAATATGTCACCATAACAAATTAAATGACAACTAATAATCTTATTAAAAAATATGCATGGATAAATTATATATAATATAAAGGCCATGTACCATGGGTATGAGATTCTCATCTTCCATTTATATTACTTTATTAAATCATGTAAAAAGAGTAAAAAGAGAAGTAAGGTGAGTTTCATAATCAAAATGATATGAGAGTTTCATGTGATTTTTACATGGTTGATTTACCATCCAAGCTTGTGATCCACAGACTAAATTAAACATGTCATTAACGGTAAGTCAATGATTCCCGATAAATCTAAAAATTTCATAGAGATTGAAATTGGCCAAAAAAAAATCTATCTAAATAACTTGTTAATGTGACTCGCATGTTTTTGCACAACTGGAAATGAAATATAGGTCTTAGTCTTAATTAAATATTTTAATTGAGTAATTATTTATTAATGATTATTTAAAGTAACTAAACAAACTCTGTTTTGATAGATATCTACAAAAGCAAACTCAGTCCACAAATCCTCTCAAGTGATAAACTGGCATTTAACAAAATTAAACCAAACATTTAACTAACCATTCGTGAAGTGTTGAAAGATCAATCTTTATTTGGATGTTTATGTTAATTTATGTTTGTTTATATTTATATATGTTTATGTTCATTGATTTGGATATTTATGTAAATTTATTTGTTTAACGAAAAAAAAAAAAAATCATTTGTTTATTTGTTCATTTGGTTTGTTTACTGGTATTTGGTAGCAAAATAAAAGAGGTAGAAGGTTATTTGAGAGTTTTTCCTGTCAAACAACATTTCATGGGAGGAAAACAATTGCCTTTTCATCAATTTATTTGTATTTTACTCTTTTATCTTACCGATTATAAATATACAAGTTCTATTGGATTGGGGACCTATACATAAACTCTGAAAAAATAAATTATTATTATAAAGAACAACAAAGGGTTATCTGGAAGAGGTTTATTTCTTTTTTAAGTGCCAGATGGAATTCTTCATTGTTTCCGTTATGTAATGGAACTGATGAATTCTGATTTGAATCCTCTCCATAAACATAATAGCTACCTGTCTCAGAAGTAAACTGCAATAAATGTTGCCACCAAATAACACATTCGCTAAAACCCTTAAAAGCGTCAACAAGAATCCAGAAAGAAAAAAAAAACTTAAAAAATCTAACCCAAAACTTGCTGTACAAAAAGTCAAAACAAAATTCCAATCGGGCAGTCCGGGCAGTGTTGTGTCACTGGTCAGAAGGAGCAGGGGCAGGAGCGGGAGCAGAATCACCCGATGATCCTCCATGGAACGACGTCGACAACCTCCCGTCTTTGTGAAACGATTCTTGCTTATTATTATTATTATTATTATTATTGTTATTATTATTATTGTAATTCCTTCGATTATTACCACCATGGAAACCCGAACCCCGATTCCGCCTTTGTCCCGAGAAACCACCTCGTTCATTTCCACCCCAATTCCCCTGATTCCGAGGTCCCCAGTTTTGGTTGCTATTTCCAGGCGGCATTGGAGTCGGAATTGGAGTTGGTGCTGGTGCTGGTGCCGGTGTAGGTGTAGGAGTTGGTGTTGGAATTGCACCTTGAACCCAACCCATGTTGGTCCCTGGTGCACCACCCTGATTCCACCCGGTGTTGACATTAACATTACCCTGGTTCCAACCGCCTTGGACCGGTCCAACCCAACCAGGGTTCCCATTTGGAGGGGCAACCCAGGTTTGATTCGGGGCAGCAACTCCAACCCCTGGAACCGGAGGCTGAGGAACCCAACCCGGGACCTGGACCCAATTTGGGTCCATGGTCCCGGTTACTTGCGGGCCCTGAACCATGGGCCCCCAAGTCATTCCAGGGTTCGGCCCAGCCCACACCATGTTCGGATTCATCCCCATTGTCCCCCAATTTACATTCGGTTGCTGCATATTCTGATTGACCGGAAACGGAAACTGTTGCGGTGGAGCCGCCACCGCCGCCATAGGTTGTGGCAAAAAGTTTCCGGCGGGGTCCTGAACCATGGCCGGACCACCGCTCCATTGGTTATACACCATCGGTTGCATCCCCATCCCCGCCATCGGAATCACTTGCGAACCACCACCATTCCAACCCTGAGGATTTTGAATTTGACTTTGACTTTGACTTTGACTTTGACTTTGACCAATCGCCGCCTGAACCATTTGTGGCTGCAACGCCACACTGCCGCCAGATGCCGCCACAATGTTCTCCGGTGCAACCGGAACCGGAGCCACCGATGTTCCCGCAGCATTCATGTCGTTATTCCCACATGGAACCAAAGGCGGGCCCAAAGAAGTAGAACCGGTATTTGGTGTTGGTGTTGGTAATTGACCCGCGGAGCTTTTAACTGGTGTGTTAGCAAAATCGGGTCCGGGTCTATTTTCGGGTGTTGGGTTTGGGTTATTTTGAAAGTTACCTTCTAATGCATCCCTCAAAAGTATTCCATCCTCTTCTTTCAGGTTTTTCTTCCATATTTTTAAATGGTCAGGAAAATACCCGTTTTTGCTCCAATTCCGCAACTTCACCAACGAAAACGGGCCTTGGATTTTACCCGACGGGTCTTTGTAATGCCACATTTTGTCCGATTCGTTTACTTTCCGGGTCGACACGGAAGTCTCTATATTAACAACCAATTTTGGCTTCTCGGATTTGATTGGTTGTTGGACAAATGGGGCCCGTTGTTCATGATCTCGTGAATTTTCGATATTCTCGAAACTTGACATGTTTTTGTTCGAGTGGTTTCGGGTAAATTCGTAATTTTTCCTGGAATTCCGTGGGGTCCCACTCCAAGATTCTTTGGAATTGGAATTGTAACTGTAATTGTAGTCTCCTCTTGGAGAAAATTGATCCCTTAATCTTTTGTTGAACCCGAAACTATCCGATCTTTTGTATAATTCTGTGAGGAACAGAAACAAGAAACAATTGTTAGAAAAAGGTGGTCAATGCAAAAAAACAGTAATGTGTAATATCTTAATTCTTTGAAAATACCTTGTCTCTTATTATCATCAGATTTAGTGTCTTCTTCAGATTCATATTCAGGATCCATAGTAGGATCATCATGTACTAAGGGAAACTCTTCTAGCCTTCGGGCACGTTCTTCGGGTCCCTTTAAAAGGTTTAATTTCTCTACACATTCTTTTAGCGTAAATGCAAGTCAAGGAATAACTCTTATATAAGACATGCGTCAAATATTCATGGTAGACTTGCATGGAATTAAAAAATGAAAAAAAAAAAAAAAGGATATTCTTTGAATCGCCCTAAATCACTTGCTCGATCACGGAGATGATTAAGCCGCACAACCTCTGTTTCAAGCCACTGCACAATTAATTTAATACATGAATTTTAATATGAATTTCTTATATTATATCATACAAACTTTTTTTTTTTTTGTTCCTTTTTAAGAATGTATCATAAGATAAACAACTTACATCGTTAACTCTTGCCACCTGAAGTTCCATGGCTTTATCCAAAATGTCTCCCTACAAAGCAATAAAAATAATTAGTTTTAATAATAACAATTCAGGATAATAATAATAATAATAATAATAATAATAATAATAATAATAGACACATTAAAAATTATAATGGTATAGAATAAAAGAACATAACATACCACAGTGAGTCTATTTATAAGCCCTAACTTTATACTCTGCCTCAGACGCTTGCATTCATCCTACCAAAACCACACAATTATTTAAAATATCTTCAAAATTCATATGAGAAGCCAAAAAAAGCAGAAAACAAAAGAGAGATATTTAAATGAATTACCTCTGTGAACTCCTGATTTGAAATAGTATCGATGGGTATTATTTCGGTTTTGTTAAGATTCAAGATTTCAAGCATAGCACATGTTGTCCTTTTCCCAAGTGTATATTCTGCTGCTTCACTAGTACCTATACACAAAATCATTGGAGAATCTTATATCCACAATCTTCATTAATTGTGTATAAACTACTAATAGAAAGAAATGAAAGTAATATGCAGTTATAAACAAATCAAATGAAATTAAAAAAAAAAAAAAAAATACCTGTGACTTGCACCAATCTATATATATCCTGATTCTTATTAGCTCCAGACACTCTTATTCTAACAAAAGTTCCAACAATTTTGTGATGAAACATTTCCATATCATCAAGCAAATCTTCCACCAATTTCCTCCTTAAATAGATCAAATTTATATTATGAATGTCAATTGTGGCATAAGCCTCACGATTGGTTTGTGGTTCTCTTTTATCCCCTTTCTTCCTCCCTTTCCTTTTCTTATCTTTCTGATCTTTTCCTAGGGTTTCATTAGTTTCATCATCATCAACAACACTCCCCTGAAAATCATCTACCTGAGAATCTTCTTTTGTCAAGAAGTGAGATTCTAGAAGCTTCAACATTTCAATATGTGCCACACGTGATTTCCCAAAAAGGGTTTCGAGTCTTGTGTCACAAATGATTTGACTTTTTTTATTTGGGTCACGAAGTTTGTTTCTTTTTATGTATTCGAGTAAAAGATCTTGAACTTCATATTGAGATATAACAGAACTATCACCGTTTTTCATGTGGGTTATGAATTCAAGAAGTTCTTTTGATACCCATTCAGGGGTAGAATCGTCAGAAATAGCATCGGATTTTTGCTTCTTTGTTTGTCTTCTTGTCTTTCTTGCACTTGGGTTCACGGGTGGATTGTCTGAATTACCCTCGTCTTTAACATCAGATTGTGTGATTGAAGATTCTTGTTTTTTAGCTTGGATGAGTTCGGATAAAGATAAGTCATGTTTGGCTTTTGTTTCAGTCCAATAATCCTTGAAAAGATACTCCCAGCTACTCTCATCATCAAAGTTTGCATTTTCCTACAAAATATGGAGAGAAATCAGAAAAACCAAGGGGTAGTTTGGTCATTATCCAAGAAAGCTTGTATCTTTTTATGTATTTCAAATAGCAAACCAAAAGGGCATCATCATGTGATCTCAATAAAAAGAAATCTTGTATCTTTTTATTAATTTAATCCAGTGAAGTTCAAAATTATCCCCAAGGATATGTAAGAAAACCAAGGGGTAGTTTGGTCATTATCCAAGAAAGCTTGTATCTTTTTATGTATTTCAAATAGCAAACCAAAAGGGCATCATCATGTGATCTCAATAAAAAGAAATCTTGTATCTTTTTATTGATTTAATCCAGTGAAGCTCAAAATTATCCCCAAGGATATGTAAGAAAACCAAGGGGTAGTTTGGTCATTATCCAAGAAAGCTTGTATCTTTTTATGTATTTCAAATAGCAAACCAAAAGGGCATCATCATGTGATCTCAATAAAAGGAAATCTTGTATCTTTTTATTGATTTAATCCAGTGAAGTTCAAAATTATCCCCAAGGATATGTAAGAAAACCAAGGGGTAGTTTTGGTCATTATCCAAGAAAGCTTGTATCTTTTTATGTATTTCAAATAGCAAACCAAAAGGGCATCATCATGTGATCTCAATAAAAGTAAATCATGTATCTTTTTATTGATTTAATCCAGTGAACATCAAAATTTCCCTAAGGATATGTAAGAAAACCAAGGGGTAGTTTGGTCATTATCCAAGAAAGCTTGTATCTTTTTATGTATTTCAAATAACAAACCAAAAGGGCATCATCATGTGATCTCAATAAAAGGAAATCTTGTATCTTTTTATTGATTTAATCCAGTGAAGTTCAAAATTATCCCCAAGGATATGTAAGAAAACCAAGGGGTAGTTTGGTCATTATCCAAGAAAGCTTGTATCTTTTTATGTATTTCAAATAGCAAACCAAAAGGGCATCATCATGTGATCTCAATAAAAGTAAATCATGTATCTTTTTATTGATTTAATCCAGTGAACATCAAAATTATCCCTAAGGATATGTAAGAAAACCAAGGGGTAGTTTGGTCATTATCCAAGAAAGCTTGTATCTTTTTATGTATTTCAAATAACAAACCAAAAGGGCATCATCATGTGATCTCAATAAAAGGAAATCTTGTATCTTTTTATTGATTTAATCCAGTGAAGTTCAAAATTATCCCCAAGGATATGTAAGAAAACCAAGGGGTAGTTTGGTCATTATCCAAGAAAGCTTGTATCTTTTTATGTATTTCAAATAGCAAACCAAAAGGGCATCATCATGTGATCTCAATAAAAGTAAATCATGTATCTTTTTATTGATTTAATCCAGTGAACATCAAAATTATCCCTAAGGATATGTAAGAAAACCAAGGGGTAGTTTGGTCATTATCCAAGAAAGCTTGTATCTTTTTATGTATTTCAAATAACAAACCAAAAGGGCATCATCATGTGATCTCAATAAAAGGAAATCTTGTATCTTTTTATTGATTTAATCCAGTGAAGTTCAAAATTATCCCCAAGGATATGTAAGAAAACCAAGGGGTAGTTTGGTCATTATCCAAGAAAGCTTGTATCTTTTTATGTATTTCAAATAGCAAACCAAAAGGGCATCATCATGTGATCTCAATAAAAGTAAATCATGTATCTTTTTATTGATTTAATCCAGTGAACATCAAAATTATCCCTAAGGATATGTAAGAAAACCAAGGGGTAGTTTGGTCATTATCCAAGAAAGCTTGTATCTTTTTATGTATTTCAAATAACAAACCAAAAGGGCATCATCATGTGATCTCAATAAAAGGAAATCTTGTATCTTTTTATTGATTTAATCCAGTGAAGTTCAAAATTATCCCCAAGGATATGTAAGAAAACCAAGGGGTAGTTTGGTCATTATCCAAGAAAGCTTGTATCTTTTTATGTATTTCAAATAGCAAACCAAAAGGGCATCATCATGTGATCTCAATAAAAGTAAATCATGTATCTTTTTATTGATTTAATCCAGTGAACATCAAAATTATCCCTAAGGATATGTTAGAAAACATATCAGAAAACTAAAGGCTTACAAGTATCCTTGTCCTTGATGATTTCAATTTTATAACAAATACCCAAAAAAGAAGAGAAATAGTTAAAACTGAGAATACCTGATTTTCTGGATTTTCAATTAACATCACAGTTCTCATGCAAGCTTCACATAAGCCTTTCTTCTCTTTCTCTCTAACACATAACATATCAGAGGTTTTAATGCATGATTTGCACACTGAATATGTGCAAGTATAGCACATGTACTCAGCCTTTTTCTCACAGATACTACACAGATGCCAGCCTGGATTCAGAAGAGATAAAAAGAGAATTAAAAGATGGTTAAATTATTTTAGATACCAACATCAAATCCAAAGTAAAGATCTTTTACATTGTCTTCTAGAGACATAATCCACCAATCTATTTGACTTCTTTATTATCCAACATTGGCCATTTACCTTAGTTATGGAATACCCTTTTTAATAATAATTGAACAAAAAAATAGCCATTACTGAAAAGGTTATAGGCTAATCTCAAAAGTATAAACAAGGTAGTAAAGCAATAGCATACAAAACTTATATTACTAAACTTTTCTTCTTACTTGAGGTCTTGTACTTCTACTAAAAGGATTCACAAGTCTCTCATTTATGTTGATGATATATAGCATGAACACAAATGTATGCTAAATGCATAAGAAAATAGAGAATCCACTCACCACAATTCCAGCTACCCTTAGATTGGAAGAAGGCCTCATCCCGATTAACACAAGAAGGATGATAAGCTTTAGGGCAATTCCTGAAGAAAAAAAAAACGAACAACATACAATTAACACTTAACAGCTCAATACAATTAAGGCAAACCCTGTAAACCCAAATGAATCATCAATTACCACACTCACCGCCTGTCACACAGCACAAGATTTCCACCATCAAAGCAAATGAAGCAAACATCCTCCTCCATTGTTTTCCTTGTGGTGGTTTTTGAGAACTTTCCTCCTCTTTTCCGTTTTCCTCCACTGTCTTTCTTAGATGACTCTGGCAATTCAGGTTCTGTCTCAATATCTGCTTCTTGGGCTTTCTCTTCATCTTCTAAGTTTGTTTCTTCTTCAGTCTCCATTTCTGTATCTAAGGATTTCACAGACTCCATTTCAATGTCTAAAGATTTCTCAGTCTCTATGTCGGTATCTAAGGATTTCTCTTCGTCTTCCTCCATGGGTTCTTCCTCCTCGTTTTCCCCAACACCATCAACTGCCTCCTCATTTGCCACTGATGCTTCCTCCTGCAGGTCTTCTCTAACATCTTCATCGGAAACATTATCTTCTTCCTTAACAATTTCTGGAACAACTGGTTCTTCTGCCACTGCTTCATCTTCTTGGAGATTATCAATGTTTTCAACCTGCGCATCTACATGACCATCGTTTCTAACATCAGAACCGACCATTCCCTGAACATTCTCAACATCTTCCGATCGGACATTGAGACCACCATCGTTTTTAGATTGATCTGTCATTGCATCTCCTCCATCGTTATGAACAAGAACAACAGGCGACGAGAGAACGCCTCCATCATCACCGACTTTCAACACCTCAGCGTCTTCCTCCTCTTTCACCGTCTCCTTCTCATCTTCAGGTTTGCCTTCCGCTCCTACCATAATCTCGTCACCTTCATCCTCATCCTTCTCGGATTCCACAAGTTCACCGACATTGGTATCCTCACCGTCATTTCCCACCATTTCCTCTACCAACTCCGGATCACCAATCCGCTCAATCACAGCCTCCCCTCCCTCACCTCCGTCATCTTTAACCGAATATGTCAACTCACTGCCACCACACTCCACCGCTGCCACGTCAATTTCTTTGACGGCACCATCATCCTCGTCCTTGGAGTCTTGCACCACCCTCATCGGCTCAACAACAACCGAATTATCATCAACACCGCTCAATGCCGCAACCGACTCCGAGTTCCTGCAGTGAACAATAGGCTCCTCTACTTTTTCCCCCGCCGCTGCCGAATCGAACGCCTTTGAGACCTCAGATTTAGGAACAGAAACAGAGGAGTCCTCTTCTTCATGACTGTTTGATTTGGGTGCCAAATTCGATAGCTGTTTTTCAGATTGTTTATCAATACTAGTAGTGTTTTCTAACAAGATTTCATTGATTACGGTTGTTGTTGTTTCTGCTGCTATAGATTCTTGAAGGTGATTTGAGGTGGTTTCTTCTTCAACCTCCATAGCTAAAATCCCGTAAAACCCTAACCCTAAGTTTATTTTTCTTTATACAGATATAATCATGGAATGTTATGTGAGGAGTGGGAGGATCGTGATTTTGGACGCCATCTCAAATCCCTGCATTAGAAATTATATAAAATCAAATGTTTTTTTTTAATTTTTTTTTCAATCATGATTTACATCAAAAATCAAAAATTATATCTTTAATACTTTGTGCTTATGTTTGGTATGATATTTTAGGTGTAAAATAGTTATAAAATTTTGAATACAAGTATAATAATTTTTATAAAATTTTCTTTAATATATAAAGACAGAAGTCACATACACAGCAAAACAATCAAGTGAATGTTTTCGTTTCATATGTATCGGATAATAATATGTTTATAAGATCGCAATATTAATCAACTCGACTAACTATAGAGAAAACTGATATATCTTAAAAAAAAGGTCTTAAAATATAATAGAATGTTCTTTATGTTATGCTAAGAAATGAACACATGATTTGCAAAACACTCTATGAAGATCGATGCCAAGACAGAATTGTTGGACATTTTTAATTTCTATAGACTAATTTCGTTAATAGACACTTAGTGATCTTATAACATCTAAGCAAGAAACATCAACGATTGGACTAAACTTTACTACCACATCTCAAGGTGAGTAACTTGTTATGTTTGAACCTTCTTGAAATGCATATATACATGTTCCAAACATGTATAGCCCGGTGTATATGAAATGTTCATAATGAAGGGTAAGTTTATGATAGATTACAATAAACTACTTAGATTGGTATCTTAATTTAGAATGGTTAAAGGTATTTGATTATGAAATATGTAACCTATTGCGAGATAATATAAGATCATACACATGCATTTACATATATGCTTTTAAATTTTAAATGAAAACCTTTTGTTATCATTAGTGTTGCTTATGAAAAAAGGAACCAATTATGAAAGATAGTGCTTTGTATGTGTGTTGTATTCGGTGTTGGACAAAGTGTTCATGTTATTTGATTAAGCTTTCAATCACATATAACAAAGGAAAGAATTGAAAATAGTATTCATGCAATTAACTATGTAAGTTATTTGATTAAGCTTTCATGATAATCAAATGGCGTCGATATCCTAATTATGGAATCATGATAATCAAATAACATGACTACTTTAATTGTGGTAATCTTTTGTGATAATAAAATAATGGGACGGTGTTTTAATCGTGGTTAGCTTTCATGATAATCAACATATATGGATACCCTAATCGTGATTAGTGTTCATGATAGTTGAATAGTAGGGTTTCCCAAATATGGTAAGCCTTATCAAATGGCGTCGATATCCTAATTATGGAATCATGATAATCAAATAACATGACTACTTTAATTGCGGTAATCTTTTGTGATAATAAAATAATGGGACTGTTCTAATTATGGTTAGCTTTCATGATATCAACATATATGGATACCCTAATGGTGATTAGTGTTCATGATAGTTGAATATTAGGGTTTCCCAAATATAGTAAGCCTTATAAAATAAATGGAACAATTCTAATCTAGGTAAGCTTTCATGATAATCAATCGATATGACTACCTCATGGTTAGCTTTCATGATGATTGAATAGTAGGGCTTCCCAGATATGGTAAGCCTTATAAAATAATGGGATTGTTCTAATCTTGGTTAACTTTCATGATAATCAACCGATATGGATACCTTACTTGTGGTTAGCGTTCATGATAGTTTAATCGTAGGGCTTCCTAAATATGGTAAGCCTTATAAAATAATGGGATTGTTCTAATCGTGGTAAGCTTTCATGATAATCAATTGGTATGGCTACCCTAATTATTGTTAGCTTTCATGATAGTTGAATAGAAGGGCTTCCCAAATATGGTAAGTCTTCATGATAATTATTTGCAGTTATCAGAATGAAATATAGTACATCGCATGTGTTTGGGAAGGGACTTATTCAAGATACAACTTGTTTTAAAATGATTATGTTGATGCTATCTTGGGATTATATTATGATAATTTTAATGATGCATTATACATGAAATCTTATGTTAGCTACTCACTAAGCTTTGTTTAGAATATATGATTTTGTAGCGATGCAATATAATATAACACCTATTTTTTAGTGGATAGTTTTGTATTGGTGATGTATAACATATCATTTTATAGGTACATGCTGCTCCCAGAGCTATCATGAGGTCTCACTAAGCTTCCAAATCAAGATGACTCACAAAGGGGTCTAGGATAGGCAAGCAGCCTCCCTGAAAAGTAAAGAGCGGGTTGTCCCCTCTTCATGAAGATGGATGAACAGGCACTTGAGCATGGATCTGATGAAATTGGGGAAAACATGGAACCGGTCACTATACCGCGGGGGGGGGGGGGGGGGGGGGGGGGGGACATGATTGTGACTTCGAGCGATGACAACTTGGATACACAACCATCCTTTAAAGAAAGCTTAATAGCTCACTGGTCTAGCTCCATGGCACCGAAAAATGTATGGATTTCTTCTTAGTTTCCTGGTATTACCTTTCGAACCTTCCTTGGATTGAAACAGAACTTGCTCTAGCTTCAAAGCAAAGGAAGATGGATAGACTCACCTGAGGCTCGAGATGGTGTGGTATAACAACCTTGAACTGAGCTTCGTTTGATAGTACTTTCGGAATAGGCTTTTGGCTAGATTTAGGGCAAAAGCCTGAAAGTACTCTAATTCTTACTTGCTAACGTGCCTTAAACGATCCACGTCTCAAGATGTACACCTTATTTTATATGACTTTTCAAAATAAAGAATTTATTGGTTTCGAGTGTTACATCAATGTAGTTTAACTTTATAACTTCATTCAAATTTCCTTATTATAGTCATTTACAATTTCAATTTATAACAACTCTTAAATAAACATTCAATTATTATTCGAAATCATTTCCAAAACAAAGATAACAATTTATACATTCAACTTTTACTCATACACCTAATTAGGAAATAAAAAATGATTTTTTTTTTTAAAATTATGTTACCCCAAATAATGCTTTAGAAAATGACAACATACTTAGAAAAAAAAATGAACGAGAGCAAATTTATAAAAACTAAGACTTTGAATAAAAACCTTATTCCACTAATTTTTTCTATTAAGTCGTTCTTTATGCAGTTAACCAAGAAACGTAACATTCATACATAGTCTACCGAATTAAATCTTGTCGATCATTAGACGTTTATAACTTAAAAAAAAAAAAAAAACAAATAAATACATCAAAATCTAAAATTGCATGAGATTTAATTCGAAGATAACGAAACACATTTATAAACAATTACAAATTCGGAATTTTTGATCCACCAACAATCTTGGATTTTCCTTCATAGTAAGGAACTCTTATCATCAATATTAGCATTTGCCACATTTGAAAGAGAGAGGATTACCACCGATATCAAATGGTAAAAGTATGCCTTTAAAACGGTTTATCCCCTCCCTCCCTCATACACTGCTTTGATAATCTCCAAGACCATCTCAATGCTGCACATGGAGAAAAAATAACATCAAAAAAATGCAAGAAATAGCAATGTACTTTCATGTCTTTATTTATCATAACATGAGCATCCTACTTTCCCTTTGTCATATTACAACATTGTACTTTGAAAAATCTACTCAAATACAAAGTCATTTGCAAATGCTATAAAAAAAGTTGAAACTATAATGCTATAATTGGGTAGATTTTTTTAAAGTACAATGTTCTAATAAAAAAAATAAATGAAAAGTAATGCTATAATTGGTAGATATCTCAAAGTACAACACCTTAATAAGAAAAAAAAATTGAAAGAACAATGAATTAATAAAAAGAAATGAGAGTAGGATTCTACAAATACAATAAACAAACAAATGAAAGTACAATTCTCTTTCTTGCTTTTAGCCCTTATAGGTAAAATAATTAGTTATAATAAATTGTTGTAAAAAATAAAAAAATAAAAAATAAAAAAGTCTATACCTCAGTTATTTCTCAGGCTCTCTTTTAAAGGATCCAACAGGAACCACACTTGCACATTCATTATTACCACCACTAATCTCCATTCCTTGTTCCTTGAAAAAATAAAAATCAAAATAATCCAAATTATGAAAATCACAAAGCATAATTTGTTATTATAGATAACAAATAAAGTAGATTTCTATTATAGGTAAAAGAATGTAAGTAGGTTGCTATTAGAATAAAAGAAAATGTGTGTTTAAGAGTTGAGTAGTACCTGATTATTTGAAGTCTGACCATGCATACGTTGAGGCTTTGAGTTAAGGTCAATCAACTTATTTTCCATCCTACCAACATTATCTGTATTATTATTATTATTGTTATTATTTTCCAGCATTCCGATTGCAGATAACCTGTGATGTTGGTTATGATTATCTCTTGTTGTAAGCTTGGGTGGATTATTTGGATCCACAGGTTGTGACCCTAACTCATCTTCACGACCATTTCCATTTCTATCACCTGGAAACTACACAACAATCTCATACAGTAAGTAATCATGGTTTGATGCAGAAAGAATGAGTTAATTTTGTCAAATATTAATGAGAAGAAATAGAGGGTTAGTTTTTAGATTTGAATCAAAGGGAAAGGGAAGTGGCACAAAACCAGAAACCTCGACTCGTTGCCTTAGTAGCAGATATCTTCCATGTGTTCGTTTACCACCAACATGAACAACCATGTCACACTGTAAGCACAGAGAACTTCCATCGATTCCACAGTAGAAGAAAGCTACACACACACACACAAACACCAAAATCATATCATGTTTACTATCTTCATTAACAAAAAAAAAAAACTAATTATGGCTATGTAGGCCTTGTTCGTTACATTTACACAATCTAGGACAGGACATGACATGACAGAACAAAACAGATTGTACTGTGTTTGGCATGCACAGCACACGGACTCGGACCGATGTCAGCGGGACAAAAACTACAAATTTTTATTCCTCTCAAAAAGACGAGATAGAGATCCGCTCTCTTTCTCTCTTCTATGAAAAAGACATAAATGCCCTCCTTATCCTCATCATCGAAAATAGCCCTGGAAAGCTTATCCAGTCCAATCCAATTCAGTCCAGCTAGGACCCGTGCAACAAACGCAGCCGTAGGCTGCGTATGTTACATGCGACATGACTTGAACTGAATTGGATCGGACTGGATAAGCTTTCCAGGGCTATTTTCGATGATGAGGATAAGGAGGGCATTTATGTCTTTTTCATAGAAGAGAGAAAGAGAGCGGATCTCTGTCTCGTCTTTTTGAGAGGAGTAAAAATTTGTAGTTTTTGTCCTGCTGACATCGGTCCGAGTCCGCGTCCAGTGCATGTCAGACAGAGTACAACCTGTTCTGTCATGTCATGTCCTAGACTGTGTAAATATATATATATATATATATATATATATATATATATATATATATATATATATATATATATATAAGGAGAAATGAGAATACCTGGTGCATTTTCACATATGTCACAACGTGGTACATCACTAGGATCAGCAAGTCCTACTCTTACATGCCGACTTGCAAGCTTATTACACATATGCACCTGCCCAACATTTTTGCAGATAAATCAATACACAATTACAAGGATTTTTTAGGACATCATTTCATAGGAAAATCTTTCTCTATAGAAACGGAAAAATCTATCTAATGTCATCCAAATATAAAAGCAGTTCTCAGTGCTATAATTGGGTTGATTTTTTTTTTCTTTTCATAGAAACTCGAACTTTCCCTTGTAATTAAGAATGATTATCTATGTTACACCAAAAAGTCATTAAAGCCAGAAATGCACAAAATAAAATGAGGAAAATAAACACTAGCCAAAAAAATTCATGGTCCTAATTCATACATCTGGATGCCAAAAAATGTGCTTAAATAGGTGGGCCCATAAAATAAAGGGACAGAAATATAAAGATGTGGCTGTTGCATTCCCATAAAGAAAAACATTCAAAAACACAACCCAAACACAGGCAACTCAAGATATATTAAACAAACCAACCAACCAAAGAAATGAATTAACCTAATTTAAAACGAGATCCAAAAACCAAAAGCACCATAAGAATGCTTAGGTGTATAAATGATATGATTAAAATATATTTTAGTAGATTAGGGAAAATCTGTAAAGAGTTATTACTCAATCAGAAATGCCTCATTTTCATGGCTTCCTTTTTTTTTAATCGTTTTATTCTATATTAAGTAAAAAAAAACAAAGAAATATTCATACAGAACTTACCGGATTAACTCATGTCCCTATTAAGTCCATTAAGTTATAAAGAAACAACAACTGAATTGGATAATATCCATAAATGAATTATTAAACACTTGTAGCTATTGAGTAAAACTTCTTACTATGTACTTGAAATTGATTCTTTCAAGAATTATATCAAGCTTTGGAGATAAATGAAATTGATTTTGGTTCAATAGAATTGAGGTGTTTCTTTATCTAATGAACTTCATCCGACAATTCCAAAATATATCATTACAAATTTTTAATCCAAAATCACCAAGATCCTTCTACTGTTAAGCGTTCTCACAAAAGAAAATAACGTTACATGAGGTGATAAGCTATGTTAAAACACAATAGTTTGTAAACAAAACCCTATTACCAAATTCAGGATCAAACATTAGATCCATCAGAAATTACACCAAAAGAATTTTCTATAATAATCTCTCATTCACTTTACATAAACACGAAGAACAATCCAATCAAATCAATAATTTACAAAAATAAAGTTAATTTCAACGTAAACACGATTTGAGAAAAAAGAAGAAACTTAAACCTTTTCGTCGCAAGCACGACAAAGAGCAGCTTCATCAGCAGCACAAAAGAGGATCGCAGCAGCACGTTCGCAAACATCACACAATGTTCGCATAATTATAGACCTTTTACGAAGCAATTCGTCTGCTTTCTGGTACTAACTCATTTCCCTTTTCAGATAATCCATGATTCTTTCGATTAACAAGTGAATGTTTGATTAGAATACAAAGTTTTAAATCAAATTTGATGTGTTTTAAGAGATGCAGAACACAAACAGAGAGACCATGAACGAGAGAAGGGAAGAAGAACAAGCAAAGATGAAAACTTGACAACCAGACTCTGTGCAAGAGAGAGAGAGAGAGAGAGAGAGAGGAAATACGAAGAAGCTTTAAAGTCGAGTTTTTTTTTTTTTCTTTCATAATCCTTTTTAATTGTTTATCTTAATTTAAGATTTTATTCAAAATATATATTTATCGTCAAAATTATCCATCCCAAAATAAAACGCAACTAACATTTCACGAGTATAGTCCAATGTTGCTTTTCTTCGTAAATTGTATATATATATTTACATATATTAATATTAATTATATAAATATAATAAATAATAATATGATTTTAAGCTTTCAAATTTAAAAAAAAAAAAAACATATTTTTAAGTTGTTAGTATGATGTTTTTGAAGATGATATAACTTTTTTAACATGTAAAAATTTCCTATAAATAAACATTTATTACCTAAAAAATAATTTTTTTTGCTCAAAATAAATCAGGGACGGGATAGGGTAATAAGGGGGATCGGAGGCAGGGGCAAGGTTATGATTTATGAAGCCTGGAGATTTCGGGAGTGGGGGTGGGGACAGGGGAACGAGGAAATTTCGGGAACGGGGGCGGGGGATCCACTTTACGTCCCGTTTTCCCCTGTTGACATTCCTTAGATTAGGGATGAGCAGTTTGTCCCAAATCTCGATCACGTACCGGTACCGTACTGGAACCGGTATTGAACCGTACCGAATTTAAAAATATGGGACGGTACTTGGTACTCAAAATACATGAAATTCGGGAATCGGTACTGTTGGTACCGGTACTAGTACCGAAAACCGGTACCGGTATCGGTGATGTTAATTCGGTTCGGTACTCAGGATTGACTTTTGACCAAATTCAGTTTTCGGGAAGTCGGGAACGGTATGGATCGGTACCGGTTCCGTCCCACGCTCATCCCTACCTTATATAATGACCTAAGTGAGTGAGTTTTTTTTCGTTCATATTTATTCATTAAACTAAACATTTAGTCCTTATGACCAACTACTCCAGGTTAGTTTGTAAAAATAATTTAATAGCGTAATATATTTTTCACTTTGTACACATTTAGTCCTTAATATTTTTGTACACATTTAGTCCTTAGTAATTTTTTATTGCAAAATAAGTCATTTTTGTTTTTGTACTCATTCAGTACTTATGAATGATTTCTTTAGGTTTTTCTCACGACATCTTAAGTTAGAAATTCATTAATAAGGTGTTTGGGGCTTTTGATTTTACGTCCATTGCGATCTTGACTACTTGGTTGCTTCAGTCATGTCTTCTAAATGTTATAACTTCTTCATACGATCTCAAATTTTAACGATCTTTATATTCATGTATTCGTATTTTAGTCTAGTACAACTTTCATTTAGATTACTCCAGTTAAAAAGTAGTATATTTTTGCTTACGATCTTTATATCTATATGTTTTTTATGAATGCATGAATGGATGTTTTTTAATAAAAGCGTAAGTAAAAATATATTATATTTTTACGGGAGTAATCTTAACGGAAGTTGTAGTAGAGTAAAAAAAACGGACACGTGGATATAAAGATCGTTAAAATTTGATATCGTATGAAGAAGTCACGACGTTCATAATATAAAACCTAAGCTAAATCACAAGACCTACACAACCAAACAGTCGAGATCGCGATGGCCATAAGCATCAACAGTCCCAAACACATCATCAATGATTTACCCGATTAAGATGTCGTGAGAAAAACCTAAAGAAATCATTCATAAGTACTGAATGAGTACAAAAACAAAAAATGACTAACTTTGAAACAAAAAAAATATTAAGGACTAAATGTGTAAAAATAAGAAGTATATTACCCTATTAAGTCATTTGTCCCAACTAATCTAGAGTAACCAGTCATAAGGACTAAATGTGTATAGTTTAACAAGTTGAAGGGGTAAATGTGGATGCAAAAAACTCAGTGACCAAATATGTACATATCGAAAAATATATTACCCTTTTAAGTCATTATCCCTACATCTTAACTTAGAATATGAAATAAAATGTTTTAAGAAAATCTAAAACATTACATATGTCAGCTTTTAAATCTAAACCTAAAGTCAGTTTTTCTAAAAAAAAAAATAGGAAAATCTTCAGAAAAGTCTAAATATTTACAGAAAAGTTACACTTAGTTCCAAGATTGTTTTTTTTAACGAAAAAGTCCTAAAAGCCGGTAAAATTTTGCAATTTTACCCTTTTTGACTGGTTGAAACCGGTACCAAATTAATTTGGGATTATTTCGTAAACTAACCCAAAATATTGTGACTTTTCTGTAAACAAAAATATTATGACTTTTCTACAAACAAAACCATTATTATTATTATTATTATTATTATTATTGTTATTATTATTATTATTATTATTATTATTATTATTATTATTATTATTATTATTATTATTATTATTATAAATAAGAATACTATTTTTTGAACTTCTTATTATTAATATTGTTATTAATACATATAAATGCATTTAAATGAAAGAAAAATAATATTAATGACATTGTTTAAGGGTAGAGGTGGAGGCGATGGGTGATGCTTTTAGCATTGAAATCGTAAATGTGTACTTGTATATTTTTACTTTGTATATGGTCATTTCGTATTTATTGTTATTGTTTTCAATTCAGAATATTCATACTTAACAGTTTAAAAAAAAGTTGCATATTTGTAAAATTATTTATAAATAGTTTAAGGTAGAAGGGTTTCTCACTTTGTATATAAAATTGTTTAAGGTAGAAGAATTACTTTCCAAATCCAACAAATCCACTACAAACATCTACATATGTAACCAATATCAAAATTCAAAAGTATTAATTACAATATCTTGTTTAATAAAAAATAATAGGAATAATTCAAAAGTATTGATCAAAATTCAAAAGTATTAATCCAAAAAACATGTTCTATTACTTTTTATTAAACAATATATTATACTTAATAATTTTTTAATTTTGATATGAGCTACCTATGTAGATGTTTGTAGTGGATCTGTTGGATTTGGAAAGTAATCCTTCTACCTTAAACATTTTTATATACAAAGTGAGAAATCCTTCTACCTTAAACTATTTATAAACAATTTTACAAATATGCAACTTCTTTTAAATTGTTAAGTATTAATATTCTGAATTGAAAACAATAATAACAAATGTGAAATGATCATATACAAAGTAAAATTATAAAAACAAACATTCATTAATATTATTTTTTTCATTTAAATGCATCTATGTATATTAGTAACAATTAGTAATAACAAGTTCAAAAAATAGTATTCTTATTGATATTTTTAATAATAATAATAATAATAATAATAATAATAATAATAATAATAAGGGTTTTGTTTGTAGAAAAATCATAATATTTTTGTTTACAGAAAAATCATAATATTTTTTGCTTATAGAAAAATCTTAATATTTTGGTTTAAGATACAAAATAGTCCCAAATTAATTTGGTAACACTTTCAACCGGCTAAAATGGTCAAATTGCAAAATTTTGCCGGTTTTCATGACTTTTTCGTTTAAAAAAAAATCTTGGGACTAAAGTGTAACTTTTCCGTAAATATTGGGACTTTTTCTGAAGATTTCCCAAAAAAATATATATAATTTTTAAAAGATTAGAAATTAACACTTAGGAAAAAAGACTTTTAAAAAAAAAATACACATACATAAGTAATTTAAAAAGTAACAACT